CCTTCCAACTTGAGATATTCTATGATTCTATGTTTTCTAGATCACTCACTATTCCCACTGGTCTCTTTTGGCTTCATCCAAGTGCAATGCCCTAAACTGAACAGTCCTCCACCAGCTGAAGCCTTACTGCTACTGAAGGAGCAGAGGGTTTCCTTCCATACGACAATACCTATCCCAATAGCTTGACAATAAACTAAAAACCCCAGGAAATTCTCTTTTACCCTCCTGGGTACATTCTGGAGTCACCATAGTGGCAGCTATGCCAAGCTCCCCTGATACTCTCACTGAAGAGGAAGGCAAATTCTCAAGCCTTCTCTATCGCATCACCATCCATCGCATATCTCACTTTGTACATCACCCAGGCTTACAACACCGGGCTCAATCTACCTCCTCTGCTATCTGTCTTACTGAAAGCCTCCAAGAGGACAAGAAGACAGAGTACAAGTATACCAAATTGTCAAAGAGGCCTCAAATCAATAATGCACTTATACATATACAAAAGTCCGTTCTTCTTAATATTAAGCCAAGAAAGTAAAAAAACCTAGGCAAATTAAGAACACCTTTAAGTGTCATGCTGATTCAGAGCAGGGAGTATATTTTGAATAACCAGTTTTAAAGGCATAAGTCTCATCCATGGACAGTCTGTAGTACAAATTCACAGATTTTACCCAATATCTGAGAACAGACTCTGATTTACCACAAATAAGATGGGTAAAGTGTTTGGCACTAACAGGAAGGATGATCAGTTATGCCATAATCTCTCCTAAAGGCAAGATAAAATGAAAATTGATAGCATGCCTCAACATGTGAAAGACACAATGAAGGAAAAATCAATTTATCAGTAAGATCATGGAGAAAAAAATGATCAAACAGGAAAGAACATCTACACAAGTGAGCTAATTGCTTATAAAAAAAAAAACAAAACAGACTGGTATTTCATACATGAGAGGGGAAAACATATTTCATGACTGGTTTCAAACAAAGGATGAAGAAAACGTACTGCATGAGACCAAATATTAGTCTTGCATCCACTGAGCAGAATTGAGAGCAATTCTGAGAAAGAACTACTGCTATTTCAAGTGATTACAGTGCTAAAATAAATTATTTTTAGCCAGACAAGGGTCTCATCATAGTTTGAATTCCCTGTGGTGTCATTTTATGTTATGCTTGAGAAATTCCTCAATAAAAATGTCAAATAGAAAGTGAGTCAAGTTCTCCTGAGGACAGTTTTGGACATTTTCCAGTACAAATTTTAGCTGTGAATTCTTAGCCAAACACCTCCTTACAACAAATAAATAAATAAGAAATTTCACTTGATTAGAAAGAAAGAGAGAAATGTTGAAACAAGAACTCAGGAAAAAACACTTAACCTGTCAACTGCATCTGATCTAATTAGTTGTGAATACTCCAACTTTGTTATTTATAAAGAAGTTTGTAATCATCTTGCTATACTGACATTACTAGAAAGATGTCCAGTGAAGGTTTAAAAAGGAATGTAAACCCTGACAGAGATGGCTTAAGATTTTGTATAGACTTCAGTCAAACAAGAGATGCAGAAATCCTAATATAATGGTCTTGTCCATTACAACCTGTTTCCTAGAGGTTCCTAGATGGCCTACACAACTATCAGTGAACTATCATGGCATTCCATCCCCAAGCCTTCTATTTTAGCTGTGAATTCTTAGCCAAACACCTCCTTACAACAAATAAATAAATAAGAAATTTCACTTGATTAGAAAGAAAGAGAGAAATGTTGAAACAAGAACTCAGGAAAAAACACTTAACCTGTCAACTGCATCTAGCAGTTAGATAGCCTTCTATCTAAAATCACTATACAAAGATTTTTGTGATGTGTGCATGATAAAATGCAGCCCAAGTCACTGAGAGAGCAATTCAGCTGTCTAAACATCAGAGTCAGATGCCATTTTAGATTCCTTATACCATCCCACCTAGCCTCTATCTCACACTCCAGACCTACTTGTGTAGATCTCACATCACATCTGCCAGCTCCAGGGTGTCCTCATTAGCATAAGATTGCCCTATGTTTAGGCAGTCAGATTGCCCTCTAAGAGTTCTTGCACCTGGCTCCCCACTTGTTGACAAAATGGACCCCAACAGCAATGTCTGGAAGGCCAAAGGGTGGGGGAGAAGTAGGAATAGCGTAGTCTGATGTTGGGTCACTCCTAGCAAATATCCTATCCAAGCACATACACAACCATGGTGCTGTATGAGAAGCTGGTTCAGGCAGGGTTTTCAAAAATCAGCCTACCGTGAGTTTTACAGGCTCATCTACAAATTCCATGGAAATTACATAATTCTATACAAGATACACTACAGCCCTACTTAATGTGTATACAGACTTAATTTCAGCATGCTGATCAAACATTACATGCCTTTTCTAAGGGGAACATAAACTTAATACATAGAATATATGATAAGGTACCCAACTAGCAATCTTCATTTTGACAGTTCTGTAAAGTCCTATAGAAGTTGAGGTGGGAGGAAGGGAAATCAGTAAAAGAATGCATTGAAATGTGAAAAACATTGTCACTAATCTTATGAAGATTTCTTTGTCTCATTATCCACGAAAAGTAAGTGGTTTCTCAAAAGGCAAGAATAGGTGGAAACAGGTAGAAGCCAGGGGACTCATCAAAACTTTAATTCCGTTCAATGCCTAATTTTCATGGGGGGAAAAAAAAATTATTTGAAATAAATTAAGCAAGTTTTACATGTTGGGAAATTTGTCCAAAAGGTTATAAGAGTCCTAATTTAAACATGTGCAAATACAAGGTATGTTTTTGATTTGAGACCTCACTGCATCCTCTTAAAAACAGCCAACTGCATTTACACATTTCTGGTAGCATAAGTGAAGGGAAATACAAGTAGTCCAGTAGGAAGAAGACTCGAATGTTCCCCTTTTCAGAACTGATACTGTGCTAATGGGCACAAACAGACTATCCCAGCAGTCAGTATAACTGATAATGCCAGCAGCCAGCTAGGGACCAAATGATGACAGAAAAATGAAGTTCTCTCTTTTCTAGTGACAGTGTCTCAAATTGGAGTTAATGCATAATAGGCAGTCATAGCAGGATTTGCACGGCCACTGTCAGGATTAAAAATTTCCATCTGAGACCTTACAACTTTCATCCTCAGTAAACTCACTCAAATTTTAAAGAAGGGAAAAAGAGGAACATGCCTTGATTCCCTTTTCAGTGCCTCTAAGTAAAAGCAGTTATTTTACTGAGACATATCAAAGACCATTCATTACTTTCAAATATTTAATCCACATTTGAGGAACAGAAACTTCCCCAGTCCCCAGTCTCAGAATTAGAAAGGCAATTGTGACCTCTTTCAGTGTCCTAAAGTAGCACACTGGGAGAAAGGGAGCTCTTTGTTATTATCCCCACTCATTTGTTCACTGAACTTCTTCTGGAAGCAATGTTTCCTAACATTTTTGGGGTAACACGAAAACTCAGCTCAGAGTAGAACATGAATACGGGCAGACACTGATTCTAAAAAAACGGCAAAATCTCTTAGCAATGTTTGGATCATTACTTTCAGCCATAGCCACCTGTTAAACACAGTGATTTATATTTTTGTAGGCCTTTTTTTCCCCAAACCAAGCGGATGAATAGAAATTAAAGAAAATCAGAAATTTGGCTATTTCTGTAGATCCAGTCTGTATGTTTCATGACCAGAGAACAACAACACAGACAGAAGGGGTCCAACAAAATCTCACAGATCTCCTGAAGGGTTCATCCTTTATCAGGTCACTCCTTTTGCTGTTCATACTTGCTACTACTGTGGGAATCATTTGGAAACAACTTTGAAACTAGCAAGCTATTTGAAACAACATACATGCACCATTATTTTAATTCCAAGTAGTTGAACTATTTTATTATGTTTGTGTCCTGTTTTATCAAGAAATATCTATGAACATTAGTATAGAGTTTTTCTTTCTTTTTTAAATGAATGGCTGGCTGTTCTTTCTATAATACCTCTTGCACAACTGATTATGCGACCACCTCAGTTTTTAACCAAAGTAAAGGTGCTTCATGACACAGATGAAATACCCCTTTTCCACACTGTTTTATAAATATCACCCTGAAGTGAATTTGGGACTGTACCAAACACTGGTCGTTGCATTTATATCGGGAATATTGAGAAAGATAGTCCCTAGGCACTAGGATTTAGCTAAAATGACTAGCAAGTAAGCACGTATGGGCATCTAGATATAGCAGTTAAAGTTCATTTCTATGTAACTAGTGTGAAGAAATTTCAAAACAAAACATGTACTTTTTTAGCTTATAGCATAAACCCAACCTATTTAAACTAGAGCAATGGTTCATGCTCAAACCATGTACTTCATACGTGAATAAAAAAAACAGATCCCCAAATCCTCAGGCTGCTGCAGCAATTAAGATCTTGCTCTGAACATGGCTCTGTACAGTTAGTGGACTGTGTCCCTCTCCTTTGTAAACAGCTATTACTGACAAATGTTTCTTCTGCCCTGTTTCATTGTCCAAATATTCCTTCATCACACACTTTTGTAACTTGCGTTAGTTAACACAATTACATTCTGTAACTTACGTTCATACAGCATATCCTAGAACTATGTTACCCGAAAAGGGCAAAAAGGGGAGGGGGAGCTTTAAAGATATGACTGGAATTACAACAGTTGGAAGAAACAGGCAAAATATATTTAAGTGGATGGGACAGACTACTTTTCTTAAAAAAAGAAGCCCAAACATCCAGCACAGGCTTTGGAGGTCAGGGGTTTTTTTAGCAATGTTAAAGATGGGCAAATTGATTTGAGTATGTTAGGATTAAGAGTGCCAACTTTAAGGATCTGGTCTAAACAACACTGGAGTCAACAGACCGGTTCGAATTTATTCAGTATGATCTGGATGAAGTCTTTACTGAAAACATACCAGTAAGCAGATCAGGCCTTCTTACCACAGCCATGAAACGAAACTTTCTTGCCAGCATTCACTACTTACCAAGACAGTTGTGGCCGTCATGGGCTAACATGAACCCGTCGTAGCATGTACACCTGTAGTTGCCTGGAATGTTGATACACTCGTGGACACAACCCCCATTGTAGAAGTCATTTTCACACTCATCAATATCTAAAACACAAGAGAAGGAAAAAGAAGATTTTGTAAAAAGAGAATACTAAGAATATAGAAAAATTTCTCCAACTGAGCATAGCCTTTGAATATATGCATGTTCCTAATCTTTCTATATACCGATATTGCATATTTCATCCAACAGATGGCTCAGGGAACTACTGATAAAATATATCAGGGTCATATATGATTGAAAAGCAGCAAACCAATGTAGAAAACACTCCTTCCCAAAATAATTGTAGTATCATCACAGTAAACAATTATATGTTGTAAAAATGTAAAAATAAACACCTGATTTTGGTACCTTTTTTATATTTAAAATGTAGGTTTTGGTTTTGTTTTTAAAATAATCAAGCAGACAATGAGTTTAACCTTTGACTTTGTAGTAACAAACAACTATCTGAAACATGCTATTGATATGGCATAAGACAAGAGAAAAGCATGCCTTGTTTAACAAAAAATCGTCTTCGCAGAACAATGAGGACCTGGTATATTCCTGAAAATACATACAGCTGTAGTTCTGTACAACAAACCTTGAAAAACACCATTTTTGAAATACCCATCGCAGTCCACTCAGCTCTATGAAATTACTATTGATAATTTGGTACAGTTTTGTCTGTCTTTTCCCCCTCCCCCATAAAATAAGCCCTATTATAATTTTCTGTATAAATTCAAGTATGGCAATAACAACAAGTCCAATGTTTTATTCTTAGAAGATATGCTAGAATTAATTTTAATTTTTTTTCTGTACTTTGGCCTGTATCTGAAAGAGTACTATGAATGATAAGAGAGATGCATTCTGCTTCAACTACAAAAATCCTGTTATGATCTTCCCCCTGTCATACAAAAATCACTTTTTCACTCATTCTAGAAAGTGCAAACTTTCTTCTTTTTACAGATTGTGTCTTGGCTCATATGTGGAATGTCAGCATCACAGTCACTGCTGTGAATCATTCAGTGGTGCACATCAACCAACTGAAAATACACAAATAATTCTAGACAGCCTTATAGCCTGATAATTGTCAACTCTAAATCTGTGGTGCGCTAGACCAAAAACCCCAGCTACTGACCCCAGGTGCATGATAAATGGATAAAGTAATCTTTTTAGAAAATCACCTGTTACTACACCAGAGCTATCCTCGCCATACATTTCAAATGTGCCTTCCATTGTAGAGGTGGTTGAAATATTTCTGTATTACGTTCAGATTCACATAGCCTTTTTTTTTTTTTAAACTTTTAGAAGTATTCCAGGAAAAGCTTTGCTACCTGGTATACCCAGCGGCAATCCCAAGACAGCAAGGTAGTTTGGTAAAACCAGATTCTTCTGAAAAGCCAGCTCAGACTCGGTCACTCGATGCTTTCAGTATTTCCGGCCCTTGGATTGACTCTGGCTAGGTTTGTCCCTCCTTGTGCAATCCTCTGACATGTTGGATCTGTCAGAGCAGGGACAGGCTCCTCCCAAGTTTTTTTGCAAGCCTTCCCCCTTGGGTCTGCCTTCCCAGAAACCTACCCTAAACTCAGAATAGCGCAGGTCTCCATCCACTTCCCTCCAACAGCTCTGAAGCCCTCCTTCCACAATCTCCTCAGCAGCTTGATATGGGAATTACGAATTTGGCTTTATCTGCAAAACCTGTTAGCTTTTTTGTAAATCAGCATTCAGAACCACAAAAATGCTGGAAATGAGAAGCTGGAGAAAGGATCTGTGTACAAAAAATACTACCTGCTGCTTAAAGGTAAAATTCCTAGTCTTTCACCCACTGCTCTGTTTTGGAAAGTTCCCATCCTGTACTAACAACTTCCACCCATTAGTTGTAGAAGTGCTGACTCAGCACAGCTGGTGGAGGTGTTCTACCTTCTGCAGTCCAGTATGACAACAAAAAGATAACATCTGTGATTTTCCCTGAAAACAATAACCAGCAAGCCAATTACTGCATATTGGCCTCATTTAGAACACACCTGCAGCACGGCAGTGCAAAGTCTCCAAGAAGCTGCACTCCTTTATTTACAGCCCAGTGTGCCTGGGTGCACGTTGACAAAGCATTCCACTGAGGTTTCCACTTAGCAGATATTTGCAGCTTCTATAACTTTTCATTAATATTTCCAGAAACTTCCTATCATTCTCAGGCTACAGGGACAAAACCAGAGCTCTATAGTAATGCCATGTTTTAACAGGCCAAGTCAGTAATCAAAAAGCACGTAACATAATTTTGATGTCAGGTGTGTCGGGCGTTCCTTCAGGACACTCAGGAAAAATGGTAACTTCATTTTTAAGATTTGTTCTTAACTTTTATTCAGCACTGAGTTTCTTCAGAAAAGGGAATTCAGAAGGAAGTGTTATCAGTTTATCTGTTACTCAGCATCACACTGCCAAGGGCTGATCAATTAATTCCCTTTTTTCAAACAATGAATCAAATAGGACTATTTGTTTAAATATGCAATGGAGAAGCCTTCAAAAGGGACAAAAATCAAAGAAATGTGACGCCTTTTCAATGCCTGCCCTTTATATAACACTTATTTCTAAAAAGCTGTCCTGTGATTAGGAGCACAAGGTGCTGATGTTATGCCAATACTTAAGTTCCAGAAAGGGTAATCTAACAGATACATAAACCAGAAAAATAACAAAAGGAACAGATTCTTTTCTTCTCTTTCTCTCAAGGAATTCCAGTTACGTTAAATTTTGCAAAAGTATTAGAATATTACTTCTCCCTTTTGTACCCCAATAGCTGTACAAAACTAGGAGTGGAGCCAAATGTTCTACCTATTTTTAAGAGCCATGTTGTGGGTTTTTTGGTATTTCTTTCCCCTCCAAAACCACATTGCTATTTAATAGATTTCACCTGGCAGGCTGACTGGAATTTCTATCTCCAGTATTGCTAGTAAAACACCAAGGGGATAAGACTGGTGAATTTAACAGTTTATTTTTTAAAAACAACAAACAAACAAAACCACCAAAAGCATGCACAAAGCTGTAAAGTCCAAACGTTGGACTTTTTTCAAGCTCCAGCTGCATCAAGAGAAAAGCAGACAATGTGCCTGCAAACAACGTGAACACCACACCATCTTCTCTTCTCATATACCTGGAGGAGAACATTCTTTAAAGAATGCCTCAGTGAAAGTGCTGAACAACTATAATTTATGGGCAGAATATTATGTCTGACATGGCAGGATATGGCTTCCTTAATAAGCTTAATATAGCAATAAAAGCAATAGGAGTACATTCAAACACATAAAACCTGCAAGCTTGCTCTTCATTTTATCTATTGCAAAACTCAAAATTCGCAGGGGCCAGTTAAGTTAATTTCCTTTCCTGTTATTCTTTTTTTCCTGTAAATTATATAATCGGGTGTTAATCAAACTCTTGGCTCCAAACACCTCAAACTCAGAAAGTTAACTCTTCCTGATAATTTTGTACCTTCAACTACCCTTAACATTTTTGGTGGTTGATCACTTAATATTGTCTTTCACCATGAAGGAATTATCATAACACAAAAACAAAACCAGAGAAACAGGGAGATGTTGCCATCCGACCATGAAACTGCTGTGCTGGACGCAGGTACATATACAGTAGAATTAGCAAGGTTTACTGCAGTCTACCTCTCAATGGGAAACCTAAATTTTTATCTACTCTGTCAAAATATCTACAAAGTTTTCACTCCAGTAAATTCTGCTTGTGCAGGCAGGCAATTCTTGGGGTGTCTAGTGAGTAAACACTGTGAAAAAGTATTTCAATTTCCTCTCTAAGAAGAATTCATTTCATATGGTATTACAATGCCAGCAGTTACAGGAGTCCTGGAAAAAAATTAAATGCATCAAAATTATTAAGAAGGCATAGGGCCATTTATAATAATAACATAGTCCGCCAAGAACCTATTTGGGCTTACTGTGTTCAAATGAGACAGCAACAACTAATGCCAGAGCTGGATGTATAGAACTACATCCTCAGCTGTTGGTGAGCTAGTTTTGACCATCTCTTTCTGGAATTGGTTTGGGAAATCTCCAAAATCCACTGCTTGTTTCAAAAGTTTTAAAGGAAAAAATGATCAGGAAAAAAGGACATAAAAAGCAGCTTGCTTACTTAGGTGTACTAGTAACTGTACTGGTTCAGCTATTTGCCAGGGTGAAAGAAGCTTGGAAACTACATCATGATTCCTTCTGGAAAGCAGAGGTGAATCTTTTTGTTACATCCTGGAAATAACTCTCCTCCAGCAACCCTAGGGAACACAGCATTGCCATGACGTGCTCTGCTGTTGTCCTCTTCAATGAGCAGTGGCGTTACTCAAAGAGTACATACTGTATGAGACTGCAGTTATTATATAAACATCCAAGAACTTCTTAAAAAAAAACTAGACAAGTGTCTGCGAAAATCCTAGCATTTGTTACCATGAGGAAGTGCTGTAATTTACAATCACTGTATTTCAGTTATAGGAAAAGAATTTGAAGTTGTCTTCTCTAAGTGACCTAATTCTTTTTAGTCTGAGGGCACCTGTATCTACTTTATACAGATTGGGGTTGATTCTTCTTTCAGTATCACAGGAGGAATTTACACTATCCCACAAACTGTTCTCATTTGTGTACTCTGCAACAAAGGGGTGGCACACTCAGAAGTCTCACAAGGCCTCCCTGCAGAGAAGCAGCTCTTCCAGGAGCACATACAACTTGACTACGATATGTTCAAAATAAAACAAGAATCGATCTCTTCTGCTTTCAGTATCACAGTATTTCAGCTTTCTGTTTCAGCAGAGAAGACACATCAGCTTGCAATAACTAATGTCCAAAAGACAAACCAAACTGTAAAACAGAGTGAGGAAAATGCTAGTTCCCATTTTGTCTAAACATTTTCAGCAGCAGCATGAAATTTGCTGCATGCTGACCATCTTTTCCAAACACTAACAACCTTTGCTGGAAGGTGGCATAGACTTTATGCCAGGAAAGTACAAAATCTACCTCCAGCAAAATCCATTCCCACTCTTCATTATACCCGTTGCCATTCATTAACTTCC